AATTTCCAGAAATAGGCAGAATATCTAATCAACAATAATCAACAAGGATTTACATAAGTATCTAAGGAATTAAGTGAACTAAGGTGGGGATGATGCTTCAGCTACCATTACCTAAATTAACTGGGTGATTTCTAGATTAACTGGGTGGTTCACAGCCCTGACCTTTGTTAGGGCTTCAAAGGTTACTAACTTTTGGGGGTCTCTGTCTATACTCAGTTAGTGAAGACAATAAATGGACTCCGGCAATATAAGGTTTTGGACATGATCCCTGGCAGGGGGCATGCAGGAGGCAGCAGATTCATGTTTCACTCTCTCCCTCTCCCTTCCTCTATTTCTAAAAATCAATAAACTATTCTTTTTTTAAAAAAATAATGAGTTTTCTTTTTCATGAGGAGTATACATTTTTATAGACATCATTTATATATGGAGTTTTAAAATAAGAAATTTCAAGGACACTCAGAATACTAGGCATTCATATCACAAACCTTGGGGAGAAGTGTGAAGGAGCATTCTAATACTTGTCTAACGATTACTCACATACACACAAATATGGAGGGACTGGTTTTGTTTTCAATCAGAACATTTGAGTGTAGGAAGACCAGCAACATGCCAGGAGAAATAAACTTCTACTGGGTAAAAACATTAAGATGAGTGTCTAGAAAAATTCAGAGGTGGCTGGATTCCCCAGCCTCCTGCTCCCTTTGCTTATGGACAGAGTTAAAATAACAATGTGAGGCTACAGAGCCCTACATCTGTTTCTGATTTACTGTCTTGGTCTTGTCCTAGTTGGAGTAATTTCTAGATCATATGCTACATCCTTCAGAGAAGTTACAGAGGGAATTTACACAACAGGCAAATACATAATTAAATAAACACACATGAAAACCCATCGAATGTAGATAAGAAACATATGCAAAAATTCTGATTACAAAGAAATTACTGAATGGCTCTTTTATTTTCTGATTTGTACCCTCTCTCCCCAGCTGACAAAGCCCATCATCCCTGGTTCCAAAATAGAGTGAATGATATTGGCCTCCTCTAAATTTGCATGTAGAGGTAAATCTAGAGCAGTGGTTCTCAACCTTGGCTGCACATTAGAATCACCTGGGAATCTTTTTAAAATCCTGATTTCTGGGCCTCATCCTCCGGAAATTCTGTTTCTTTGTTACTACTGTTGTGGCCCCACCCCATAACAAACAGAATTTCTGGAGGATGAGGCCCAGAA